ATACTAGTTTCCTTTTATTCCTTCCATCTACTTTTACATTTAAATATAGTGCTGAGATATGGGAGCTCAATAAATGTTACTGGATGAGTGAAAGAAAGGTGGGCTGGTTCTCGAAATGGGTTTTTAATAGAATGAGAGAAGCGTTGGCTTCCTGCTTGCATGTCACACCAATTCTAACTTCAGTTCCTCACCTTTGTGTGACCAAACGGAAGTGTTGTAGCATGCTTTCTTGGCTGGGTGATATGCTTTAGAACTCTGCTTGAGTGTCACTTATCCTGAGTAACCTTTCACCACTCATTGATTGGCAGTTTCCTCCTCCGTACTGTATCTGCTCTTCATTTCTATCTCACTGGGTTGTAAATGTTTATAACGCACGTGTTGTTCCTATATGACTGTCATCTCTTGCAGCCAGTGTGAGTGGTTATATATCTCAGGAACTCCGGTCCTTGCCTAGGGCCTGGCTGCCTGACACATCCCAGGCGATCCATGAGCCCTCAAGTTGGTGAGTGTAGGGATCATGTTTGTCTTCTAATYGGCACCTCCCATGCATGTATGTAATGTGAGAATGGGGATAGTGGATAAGAATTTCAACTGTGTGGCTTTGTCATGAGTTGATAGTGTGAATTTAGTCATCTCATTATTTTCTTATTTGTAATAGTAGTCATGTGCTGTGTAACCGTGCGTTGGTCAGGGAGGAAACACATTTACCCTGTGGTCCTATAAGATTATAATGGAGCTGAAAAATTCCTATTGCCCAGTGTCAATGTAGCTATCTCACATTGTAGAAGTCTCACACTGTAGATGTCTGAATGTCCTTGTGCAATGTGTTACTCATGTGTCTGTGGTGATGCTGTTACAAACAAATCTATTTATAAACACACACACACACACACACACACACACACACACACACTTGCTATTGCAACACAGTTGCCTGCAGTTTTCACAGGAATGTGCTATATGGGTTTGTGGCCTGGGAGCAACCAGATTTTACCATGTAGCCTAGGTGTGCAGTAGGTGGTACTATCCAATTTGTGCAAGTACACTCTATCATGCTCACCCAATAATGAAACTGAAAATGGTGAATCTCAGTGTGTCCATGTTGGACTCATGACTATATCTGTACCCAGAGTTTTGGGGGTAAATAMATGAATGTAGGTAAAATTTGTAGAACAAAGTATGACTCCTAAGAAGTGCATAATAAACATTAGCTAATTATCTATTAGACCCAGTTTTTAGCAGCTCTGGCTAAAAATTGGAGTCCTGGTTCTGTTGTTTACTGGCTGCATGTCCTGAGCTATGTGGACACTCGAGTCTATTTCCTCATTTGTAAAGTGGGAATAATGATGTCATCATAGGTTAAGGGGAAAAGAAAATGAATGAGGTGGTCCACAGTAAGTGCTAGTGCAAGCACAGTAGCACACGCCTGTAATCCTAGTGACTCTGGAGGTTGAGGCAGCAGGATTGCAAGTTCAAGGCTAGTGTCAGTAACAGACCCTGTTTCAAAAACTAAAAAGGATTGTGGTGTGGCTCAGTGGCAGAGCACATCTGGATTCAATCCCCAGTACTGGAGCAGGTGGGGAGTGCTTGTACCTCCTTGGAGAATGGTGCTGTAGTGGCAGGAGCCAGACCTTAAGGAATCAAGAGGCAGACCAGTCCCTCTGTCTGTCTCCCTGTATATTCCACTGCTTATGCTGGCTAGTGTCTTCCTCACTTCTGACTTATCTTCCTTCTCCTGATGCAAAAGCAGATGTGCCTGTGAAAGTTCAGCTTTTTTTTTTAAAGTCCAACCTGAAAAGAGCATCATTTAATGATATCTATTAAAAGTATAAGCACACATATATTTGTAGCAATTCTATTCATAGGAATATCTCCTATAAACATATTAGCACGTTTGCAAAATTATTTTTTAAAAGATTAGTCAGGAACTGGGTATAGTGGCCCACAGGTGTGATACCAGCTACTTGGGAGGCTGAGGCAGGAGAATGGCAAGTTTGAAGCCAGCCTTAGCAATTTAGCAGGAGCCTGCCGGAAAAAATAAAAAACAGGAAAATGACTAGGAATATACTTCATGATAGAGCACTTGCCTAATATGCATGAGGCCCCAGTTCCAATCCCCAGTGGTCCCAAATGAAATAGGGGATTAAAAGATTTTGGTTGCATAGTATTTCATGGTTAGAAGTACCATCTTTTGCCAGGTGTGTTGGTGCATGCCTGTAATCCCAGAAGCTTAGGAGGCTGAGATGGGAGGATCAAAAGTTCAAGGCCAGCCCCRGCAATTTAGTGAGGTCCTAAGCAACTTAGACCCTGTCTAARTTCAGCTTTTTGAATTGTTTAAAAAAATGTTAGGAATGGAATGCTGCATTAGGAAGATTTAAGTCCAAGAAGGTGCCTTGTTTTCCTTCATATAGTTGGCACACTCTAGCTGTCACCCAATGGCACTCACATTATAAAATAAAGCAAGGGGGGCTGGGGATGTGGCTCAAGTGGTAGCACGCTCGCCTGGCATGCGTGTGGCCTGGGTTTGATCCTCAGAACCACATACAAAGATGTGTGTCTGCCGAAAACTAAAAAGAAAATAAATATTAAAATTTTCTCTCTCTCTGAAATAAATAAAATAAATAAATAAATAAATAAATAAATAAATAAATAAAATAAAGCAAGGTCCTTAGAACCAAGCAAATGGTTGGAAAGGTTGCAAATCAGCCTTCAAGTAGCTTTTACTGTCATCTGGAAGAGACTGACTTCTGTGGGCTGCTCATTAAGAAACTTCACTAGAGCAGCAGCAGATCACAAATGTCAAGTTCCTAGCTCAGCACCTGGTACAGAGCAGGCAGTTGGGGATGGTGGGTATTGCTGCCCAGGGCTTTCTCCAGAGCCTCCCCACCTGTCCCTGTCTTCCTGGCTGTTTGCCTTGGGGCATCGCAGGTGTGGGCTGGAAGAGAGGATGGAGGCCTTCCTCTCATCTGTCCAGCAATCCTCCCTATTCCTGAATTTCAGGTTGTTCATCTACATGCGGAGGCTGCTGGGCTAGTGTAGGGGTCTTTATCTGGAGCCCACACATGAACTGAAGGGGGCCCTTTGAGCCCCTGAAACAAAGGCTCAAATTGTTCCTCTGTGTGTGCTGGTCCTATGGACTCCACGGTGACGTGSAGACTCTCCAGTGCCTCCACAGGCTACGTGTTGACATACTAGTTACTCAGGCGCTGAAGTTTGATAAACATGCTCCTGGTGGTTCACAAAATGATTTAGGTGGTACATGTTTTTTATATGAATGGTTATGTGATTAACCTTAGAAGAAAATTCTGGCACATCAGAACTGACAATGCATGAATATTATTTGGAGGAGGCTGAAACTGTACTTAAGTCACATTTCCTTAAAATCGTACTAAATGAGCACTAGTACAAGGGTGGGTGGATGCTTAGTTTGAGAAACAATGATTGGCACAACCCCTCCACCTGGCACAGAGGAGAAGAGTCCTCAGAAGTGGAGAAGAGGCCACAGAGGAAGTGGGTGGGCCAGCACCCAGTGTTCCTACTCCTCGCAATTCTCTGACTTGGAAGAAGTTTCCAATTCCCTCTGGTCTCCTTCAAGAACATTCTTCCCATGAAGCCATTATCCTCRAACAGTTAGTTTCTGCCTGGGCCACTTTTCCTGAGCTGCCCAGGAAGTGACTTTATTGCAGGGAACATGGGACATGTTGGGAAAATCTCATCTTCATCCTCAGGTGACCTCAACATGGGACGCCCTTGTTCACATTTTAATGTTCCTAAAATTGGCTGCAGTTTACAAATGTTTATTGAAATAGAAAGTTATTTCCTTTCCCCCCAAAACTGTTATGAAATGGATAGTAGCTTAGAATTGAGACAATATGATTATTAATTTTTCTAATTTTTCTCCTCCAAAGCAAAAGTTGGAACTTCTAAAAAAAAATTCACAAACTGAAAGAAAAATTTTTCTTTCAGTGAAAAAGCTCTAATACTATCTCTCGTCCACAGTGGAAGTAGAAGTGAGTCACTGGGACAGATTTGGAGACAGGAACTCGGATACCACTGTCTAAATACCATCCGCCTATTCTCTAGAGCCTCCTATCCAAATTTATAAATCCTTTGAATTCATTTAGGGCCCCTATTAGAGGTGTGTCATAGAGAACCTTCTGGAAGTGGCTTTCAAGAACTTATAAGTCTGAATCCTCAACTGGTGGGAAAGATGAACCAGTCTCCTGTTTCCAGGGGACTTCCTTTGCTTTGATGTCATAGCTTCTTGATTTCCCCATGTCCCAATTCCTGTAGGGAGACAGCCCTTGGGACTACTTTTCCAGATGGTGAGCTTGAAATGGGTTAGAGGCTCTTTACCAGACTTCACAAGTCAGCATCTTTATTGGCCCATTTTTTTTCTAGGTACAATGGAGATTTATGGTTTCCAAAACCAGGAGGAAGAGGGGAGGGGCTGTTGAGGAGACAAACCCACCCAACACAGACCAGCCTTTCTCAGGGAGCCAGGGTAGTGCCGTGGCTTCCAGCCTAGTGCTTCATTTAGAAGACCAGACACGAAGCAACCAGGACGCGGCCTTTAGAAGCCAACGGAATAMATAAAGCTGGAAAAGGCTGAAGGGAGAAAGCCAGCGAATGTGTAAGTAGAGGATTCTGTAGAGTCACTGGAAAGGACAAAAAGGAAGAGACACAAAGCAGCAGCTGGATCGGGCCCCGCACGGCCTTGCCAAGCCAACTCTGAGAGCACTGTGTAGAAAGTGTTCTTTTTGTGCCCCGCAGCATTCACKGGGGTTTCCTGGTTGGATTCTCGGGCTGTTTCTATGGCGCTTAGAAAAAGAGGTATCGAGGTGGTGCAGTGCCCCTGCCCTTCTCATTCTGCATCCTCTTCTCAGCCTTGTGAAATAAMTCTCTGGTGCAAAGGAAACTGTTARAAAGAAGCTGATGGATGGGAAGAGGAGGAGATTCTGACCAGTTCTGATTTTTGCACAAAATAAAGAGAGTGTCTCTAAGAGTAAACGGTGTTTTATTTTTTTTTCAATCAAATGGAATTGCTTAATTAAAAAAAAAAACTTCTCTTTTTTTTTTTTCCTTAAATACTACAGACAACCTCATTTTATCGCAGCAGACACCTAGAAACAAAACACTGGACCCACCAGAGAAAACTGGGCAATAAAAGCATCAGAATTCAACTCGACTATGGAAGAATTACTGTTAGCTGGCAGCTCTCAACTCTAAATAGAAGTGGCCCCAAGTCTATGGGGTTTGACAAGTTTCTCAGAACTGGGGAGTTGGGAAAGTTGGACTCTTTTTAAAATTCTATYCCAATTGTTTTTAAGCACAGGGAACTTAAAAGTCAATGCATCAAATGAAGACCCAAAGAAACATTTAAAAACTTGTTGGACTAGTATTCAGTATGTGAGATTAAGTAATAACTTGTCCGCCTAGTTAACCTTGTCCTGGAATATATATAGGTTATTTGTAGCCGCCACTGCTATAATATTTTCTGAAGGATGCCAAGCTGTATGCAAGATCTTTTTGCTAAAGTCCAGACTGTCGACACTGATCTCGTCTTTTCTCCGCTTGCCCCCCACGCACACTTTTCTGGGCTTGAGGATAGCCCGAGGTTTGCTGTTTTCCCTCGAGGCCTCAAGGGTCACATCACGCTTGGTGTTGCGGTCAAACATCCTGAAGAAATTGTTGTAGGAGCCTGTCATGATGACACTGCAAGATAGAGAGGAAAGGGTGGGGTGACTGGGTGTTATAGTGAAAGGAAGCAAATGATACCGCATCATGATCAGCTTATGGCACTATAGGTTTTATTAAAGAGGGGGGAAAAAAAGGACCTTCTTCTTTTTCTTTGGTACCAGGGAATGAACTTGGGGGCACTCGACCACTGAGCCACATTCCCAGTCCTGTTTTGTATTTTATTTAGAGACGGGACCTCACTGAGTTGCTGAGACTGGCTTTGAACTCATGATCCTACTCCCTTGGCCTCCAGAGCCACTGGAATTACAGGTATGTACCACCCTGTCTGGCAAAAAAAATAAAAAAAAAAATAAAAAATCTTTATGACCATGGACTTCCTTTTGAATTACTAATGGTGATAACCCTTCTTATTTACTTTTGTTCTATAGATTCCTTTTGATTCTTTGGTCTACCTAAATGAGTCTAGTTATTATGATCTCAACCCTACCTKTCTCCTATCAGGATTATGAAACTCAAGTGGAGTCATGTAAGTAGAAACACTTTTGAAAACAACAAATCGTACTTATTAAAAGCACAGCTGCTGTTGGAGCATTCCTCAGACTGTTTGACTTGTAGGGCTTCATTACATCAACCTGGCAAGAAAAATGCTGAGAGACAGCACCATGATTACAGGGTGGCCTAACCACTTCTGTGAACCAGATCTTAATTCAACCTTTTTAGAAATATTGCATATAAAATGGATGTCATCGTGGTCTTATTCAGGGAGGGAGTAAATAAGTTTTAAAAGGATTTGGGATGGACAAATAAGATTTTAGGGGGCTGGGATTGTGGCTCAGCAGTAGAGCGCTCGCCTACCATGGGCGGGCGGGACCCGGGTTCGATCCTCAGCACCAAAAAAAAAAAAAAAAAAAAAAAAAAATTTAGAACAGCGGGTCAGGTGGTTTCTACATTTTTACAAGTGTTTTCCATTCTTGGGGACATCTACAATTGACCAGAAGAGCAGTGAGTCCCTACAGTCTTCCAGTAGCAAGGTGTGGAATATTAAATGGTGACTTTTTAGAATTGTTTAGACAGGGCAACCGGCCAGGAAGAGACTGCAAGTGCTCAAACAGAATTGGCCCAAGTCTACTGGATTGGACAATTTTTCTCACAACTGGGGAGTTGGGAAAGTTGGACTCTTCAAATTCTGTTGCAATTGTTTTTAGCACAGGGAAATTAGAGTCGATACATCAAATGAAGACCCAAAGAAACATTTAAAAACCTGTTGGACTAGTATTCAGTATGTGAGGGGTGGTACCCAAGAGGCTGGTGAGAAATTGCTTCAGGACTGGGAGGAGAGCCCAGCCTCGTCTCTTTTTTGCATGATTTGAGCAGTGTCACAGAGGTGAAAGGAAAAGCTAACAAGACTGGCCACAGCAAGGTGGGGGGTACTTTGTCAGCTGTGCAAATTAAAGGTTGGATTTTCTTCTTCTGGTCTAAGAAACTGACGCTATGAATGGTTTCTCTCTGTGCTAGAGTGAACTGCGGTGACCTTGTCACACAGGGTGCTGGGGCTCTACCTCCACCATCTCATTTCAACTTCCATGAGCCCATGAAAGGGAGATGTGGAGAGGTAAGTAATTTGCACAGTCACAGTAAGTGACAAGGTCAGGCCTCAAACTTGCATGTGCACTGGTCTCCAGGGTGTAAGCCCTCAGCCACTCGGGCTCACTGTGTCTTGGACATTGATGTTCATGTCCCCCATCATGACCTAGCTGGTCTTTAGATAAGATTGAGACATTTTCCAAAGACTTTCTCTGACTTATTTGGACCGAAAACAAAATTTCCTAGTTGTGATGTTACAGAGGGGATGTTATTTTTAGGATTCAAATTCAAAACTTCCTTGGTATTTACCATGTACTAGTTTGTGAGGTTGGGCAGGCTACTCTTTGTCATCAAGCTTCAGTTTCTGCAGTCATAAAATGGGGATAATGAAAGCAACCTTGTTGGACTGTGGTTGGGATTAAATGGTGTGTAGGAAAGTGCCCAGTAGTAGGTGCTTAATAAGTGTTGTTTTTGAAGCTAGCCTAAGATAGGGGGAAAGTGAAATGATAATTAATAAGATATTAACAATATCTTCTAATAATGAATAAATACATGAAAATAACAGGGCTGGATTCTCTGCCCTTGGGGGCTTTTGTTCACATGTCACAGTTGCTTTGCTCTCTGGCCTGCATTAACTGGACTGATTGGAGTCCTTTGCTACGTGGCGACTCCTTTTCGACCTGCTAAGCAGGGGGTTCATTTTGGGTCAGTGGCAAAGAAAGCTAAAGAACAATCGAGAGAGGCGGCTTGTGCTCTGTAAAGCTTAACGCTCGAGTGTCTTGCCATGAAGGATTCCCGTGCTGCCAAACACGATTACCAGTGCCACCTTCATCAGGAAACTAAGCCAGCCCCCAGTTGCCTGCATCTAGTTCTCATGGAAGCTGGAGACTCATCTGTATTTGTCAAACTAAAAATGAACTATTGGGAGGTAATATGAAGTATGGGTGAGATCAAAGGCCTTAAAACAGTAATAAATCACTTGGAGGGAATGTGATAAATGAGCTTGAGGAGAATCGGCTAATGAACCACCAGGGCCTCCGGTCAGGTCCATCCTAGCAGCTTGGAGAGTTTTTGATCTAGAAAGCTCATTTGGTAGGACTTGGAACTATTCAGGCTGGGATTTGCTGTTGAATTCTTTGTTGACCAAGCTCTGGGGGCGTTTTATGTGTCAAAGACGGGACTTTCTTGAATTGTCACCTGAGTCAGTCCTCAAAAGGACCCCGGGTCTTCTGGCATCCTTCCCTTCTTTGCAGGCCTGATCTCAGGGTCCATCCAGTGACCCACAGAATGCATCTTGGCTGGACCCTGGGGCCCAATTTTGACCCCTATTTGGCTTCACCCCACTTAGGATTGATTTCCAAGAGCCTCTCTTACCTGTCTGACCCATTCCACACGCACTCGAATTTATCAAAAATGCAGTCGTTTTCGTAGAGGGAGCACAACTTGCTGCGGAGGTAGTCATGAACCTGAGAGGAGACACCAAAGTCAGCCATCATCGTAAAAGGTGAGCGTCCCTGCGAACACTGCCCCTTCCGACATGAGCCATTGGTCCTCTCTGTACCTGTGCCTCGAGTCAGATGGCCCTGGATCTGATCAGGCTTGGCCCTTCCTGACTGTGGGTTCCTGAGCTCCTCAGGTGGCCAGTGTGGATGACACAGCTGGTCTGTGTAGAAAGTGGGATAGATCAGGGCCCAGCGAGTCCCATTTTCTAAGCTGCTTTGTTCACGGATATTGGAGGACACCCTTCATCCAGGGTTTTAGTCAACAAATATTTATTGACTCTCTGCTGTGGGCCTGGGATACAGCAGTAAATGAAATACCCTCATGGTGACTGCAGCCCAACGACTGTACAACCAAGTAAATACCTAAGATGGTTTAAGTGGGGCTAAAATTATAGCACAAAAGAACATGGAGAAGGGTATTGTTTTCTGTAGGGTGAGTAGTCAAGGCTTTACTTGACAAGACAGCATTGGAACAGAAGCTTGTGGGGAAGGGCTTTCTAGAAGCATAAAGAACAGCAAACGAAAAGGACCAGAGGCAGGAGTCCTGGAAGGAGGGTGGCCGAGGTTGGCAAGGAAGCAGATGGCCTATATTCTGAGTGAGGTGAAGAGACATCACAGAATGGATCACAGAGCTTATGTGGTGATACAGAGTAAGGGTGAAAGGACCTGGCTGTGACGGGTGATGGCTTGGACCAGGGAAAGTATTGGTGGGAAGTGGTTAAATTCTATATGGGGTTAGAGGGAGAGCTGACAGGATTTGGGTTAACTCTGAGATGTGGTGAGAGAATCAGGAGTCAAAGATGGCGCCGGGATCCTTCTCCTGAGCGAGTGGAAGGATGGAAGCTCCACGTTCATTCCTGAGGGGGATAATCTGGGGATGTGTAAGTGGAGCTGTTGGGTAGAATGAGCGGAAGGATGTAGTGTTCTCCTGAGGTGAAAGCAGCAGCACGCTTATCATCTGAGACTGAGCATAGGTGTGACACTGTAAGACTCCTGGAAGGCACAGGGGCACCTGAAGTTGTGGGATGTGGATTTCAGATGAGACTGGTCAGCACAGTTGGGTACTTTCCTCCAGTTACATCTAGCACCTTGGCTGTAGAGGCAAATAGGCAGATGAATAGGGCTCTGAGGGTGATACCTTGAGCTCATTTTTAGAGTAATTTTCCTGAGAACATGAGCAGCAAGTGCTAGTAATAGTGGGTAGATGCAATATGCTAACTGGTTATTTTTGCCCAAGTACTTCATTTATTAAAAAACCCCTCATTTTGTCTCTAAAACCCTCTTCTGACACAGTAGTATTCTCTTTACTTTAATGGAACATGAAGCACAAGGATGAAATATTATTTGTCCAAGATCACACAGGAGAGAAAATGGCAACTGGACCTTGTATTTGGGTTCTGAATTGCACTTCTCTGAACTACCATAGCAATCTGCCTCCTGCTTKCCCTGTCTCATCAACCTAACCTGATGTGGGGGTCAGAGTCCTAGAAGGGGGGGCAGAATTGGGAGGAGGCAGAAGGATATCAGGGTCATTGTTTAGCTCCAGAGTGATGACTCAGTCTTTCTTTCCTTGTCTCTTGACCCCAAGAGTTCTGTGGGACGCTGAGCTGGAGGCTCCCTTGTGTGCTTAGTCTCGGCAAAGGAATGAGGTCAAACTCATCCTGCGTTCCGTTAGTTGTTTTGGGTATTTGACAAGCTCTCTGAGTTATTTGGCCAGTGTAAGTAGTTCTAACCCTACCAATTAATTGCTCTCCCTTCACTGTCTCATTCTCAAACAATTCCAGACTACATCAGGGCAACAGCTTCAGTGCTATGGTGACAAGTGAGTCCATCTGCACCAGGGTTTCTGGCAGTGCTAGATGCTTTGGGGGAGTGCAAGGCTTGAGTCCTGCCCTTTTGAGGTATCCCTCCTGCAAATTAACCCACCTCCTCCAGGGGGCAGAGCCGTCAAAGTGTAGAGCTAGGGTAGTAGTGCCCTCCTTGTAAACCTTTCCAGACCTCTTACCATTTCCTTTGTCTTTTTGTCATAACACCACAGAAGAGTAGTGTGGGCCCATTAGTAGGAACCACACTGCTGAGAACTCTATAAAGACTTCCTAACTTCTATCTTTCAAGAATTATTTCAAGGTAAAATCTAATCTGAACCATTATTTTTCTTCCACAGCATGTAAAGTCTGGAGAATTCCTGCCTGCAGTTAGAGCATTTAAAGAACAGCTATGAAGAAGGTATGTTGTCTAAAAAATTCATATGAAGCAAATCGGAGGATCTTTCTCCACCAGAAAAGAAGATAAGATACATGAGAAGCACTTAGAGTCTAGCAAGAAAACTTAAACCTTACACTCTAATGCTTCTTTCTTCATGTTCCTATTACTGTTTGTTTGGGCTTCCTGAAGGTTGGCTGAAGCTCCCACCCTCCGGGTAAGTTCTTTATTCTTGTGCCTAGTGAGCAGATTGAATACAGGCTCCCACAGTTTTCAGTGAAGTGCAGCTGCAAGTTGAGTATCCCTTATCCAAAATGCTTGGGGGTGCTGGGGTTGGGGCTCAGTGGTAGAGCACTTGCCTAGCACGTGGGAGGTGCTAGGGTCAATCCTCAGCACTACATTAAAAAATAAGTAAATAAAGGTATTGTGTCCAAGTACAACTAAAATGTATACATGATAGATGTATATCTATAAAATGCTTGTGATCAGAAGTGTTCTAGCGTTTAGAATATTTGCATGTACATAGTAAAGTTTCTTAGGGATAGGACCCAGTCAGAATTCATTTACCTTCAGGCTATGTGTATTAGGTGTATATACTTTTGTGCATGACAGTTTGGTACATGAGACCAGATGTGGGGTTTTTCCATTTTTGACATCATGTTGGTGCATTTTGAATTAGGGATACTTAACTTGTAGTAACTATTTTAGGCTCTGTGGGCCGTGTGGCATGGTACTAGCCACAAAACTAAACAATTGTGGCTGTTTCAGTCAAATATTATTGGCGGGGTTGGATTTGGCTCACAAGCCAGTTTGCTGAACCCTGTCCTATAGGCAAACTTAATCATACTTTAGTTGACAGCTTATTGGTGGAAACATGCTTGATCTATTAATGCATGTATAAAAAAGTACACAGCGAGAGCATTACCAGTCTTCTTGCTCAGGGCCAGGTCTTTCCCTGTTTCTCCCAATCTTTCTTCTTTTCCTGGTACTGGGATTGAACTCAGCGACACTCAGCCACCAAACCACATCCCCATTTTGTATTTAGAGACAGGGTTGTTCAGTGCCTGGCTTTGAACTCATGATCTTCTTGCTTCAGCCTCCTGAGTTGCTAGGATTACAGGTGTGTGCTACCATGCCTGGCTTCCTATCTTTTTCAACACTGGTCTAGAAACTCACTGAATCAGTTTTTTATTTTTACATCTTTTTTTAGTGGGTGCAACATAATTGTAAACAATAGTGGGATTCATTATGCTATATATTCATACATGCATCTAACATGACCTGCTTTTTACTGTTCATCTTTGATATAATATGAACTCGGTTAAATCACTTTGAGACATACCATTCTGAGTTAAGAAGTTGCAAGACATGTGCTATGATACCTATTTCTTGGTTTCCTGCAAAGATGTTTCCAAGCTTACTATCAGCTCAACACGGCTTTAGAACCAGGGACTTTAAATGCTGATTACATCACAGCCTGCTAGCTCTGTTCTAAAACTAGCTTTGTTCTAAAAGCCTTCTCCTAAAATAAAGGTACTAATTGCCCTTTCCACCCTGGGTCCGGAATCTCTTTTCTCAAAAGCTCTCCAGCAGGCTGCCTCACTACAAATASCACCTAGGCTCCAGTGCCCTCTCCTTTGTACTGAGGGTTCTAGCACCATATAGTTTGTCTTACGCAGCTATAAGAGGACTCTMCTATTGACCCTTCCCCTGGGCTAAAAACAAAAGGCTGTGACAGGGAGGTGATGTAGAGCCTCGAGGTCTGGACTCAGGACAGTAAGATGCAGGTACAGGGGATCTTTTAGAACCATAGGGGTAACAAAATTATCTAGTCCACATAGGTGGTCTTGAATTCTAGCTCCCAAACTGCCCTCTGGATCTTAGTCCTCATCGTCCTCTCTGAACTTTTCCTTCATTCCTGATTGAAATCTGGCTCTCCCCTGAGGTCATTGCTTCTCTCGAGGACACTCCAGGGTGGCTGGGTGTGCGCTCTTTGCTGCTCCTGACACTTGTTCCTGCCGATCTCCAATTCTTGGCTACTTTCAAGTCACCCAGGCTAAACTTCCTGTCATCCATTCTTCTTAAAGTTCTCTAGTCCTCCTCCAAGTAACTCGGGACCTCCATCACTATTCCTGCCATCTATCTTACTAATTCAGACACGCTGGTCTTAGTTTAGTCTCATATGCAATGAGTTCTGTCCTCTGCCTCCTTGGTGATAGAACGAATCTTGTCATCCCTTGAGCAAATCTCATGCCACTTCCTATCTTTTAGTTCTTTCTCTCTAGTATCATTCTGTCAACTTTTCGAATCTAATTTCCTCTGTTCATCATTTCCTTTCTTAACTACCTTAGATTTGGCAGTCCATCATTATAATTGTGTTCTCTAATAGGCATGTTTAACAAACTTCCCTTTATCTCTCTCTTCCACTATATTATAAGGTGAAACCTCATCAGTTATATTTAACAAAATCTGCTCTTTTCTTGCCTGCACCAAGCAGGTGAATGTGGCTGTGAAGAAATAATTATAGGGGTTAGTTTATTTTAATAGTCACCTCAAGTGGAACTTKGAGCAAACCTAAACCACTCCCTTCTTTTAGATGAATATTTCAAACTTTTCTCATTTAGCTGGAGACCTTGCTTTTAGATAAGAGAATATCTACATGTTCCCATCACAAAATTTATAAACCTATTGCATCTGGAGCTCCATACACTGCTCAACTGTCCATCCTCTCATCTGAGGCCAGTTTTGCAATGGACTCCTTC